TGGTGGCAATTAATTGTATGCTTATTTATTTATTGAGCATTAATTTCTTTCTGTATTTATTTTTAAATATGGCAGAGTTGGTCCTCCATAGTGCGGTACACACAAGAAAACTATTCCCCACATTTGACTGAAACAGATTATGAAAAGTTATTAAAATACATAGCGTTCTATAAAGCAAAGCTCAAATGAACAAGTCTGTGCAACATCTAGAAACACAACAGATAGAAAATGTTCATCTATAATCAATCAATCAACTTTATTGTCAACTACAATTTACATTGCAATCTAGATTTCAGTTTCAGTTCAACCATTCATCACAATAGATCACATACAGTGGGTGGGTGGGTCGGGGGCGATAGGGGCTGAGAGAGGGAAAGGATTTATTGAGGCCATGCGTGCCATCAGAACGCTGCCTTTGCCGCATTCTTATGGCTGCCAGGTTCCCACCCGTTACCTGGCTGCCCAGGTCCCAGACGGTTCTCTATAGCGCCCCCTTTATCTCTGTGGAGCCACATTTTATGTTTGACAGGATATAGTTTGAGATATGAAAAAAACCTCCGCACAAGAAAAGCAGATGTAACAGAGACATCTCAGCACAGGCTCACATCAGAGGCTTAGTCACATGGAGTCAATCTGACATTTGAGACATTAGTTGTGTGTCTTCATGAATGCATTCAATATGTCCGTGAACGCTGACCACAGGCCATCGTCCTCTATGAGCTGTTCCTGGGTAGGGGAGGGGGGAGCAGTCCTTCTGGGCCCTTTTGCCATAACATCCAGGGAAGATTAGATAAAGGGGGGGAGGTCATATCCAGAGTAACACTTATTGTTTTGAACGCAGCAGCACAGGAATTTTCAGCCTTCAGTCTTTTCTTGCTGGCTCTTTCGTGGTGAAATTAAACATTCCAAATGTGTTTGGCTTTTCTGCCTTGAAGCGAGCGTGCACATCCAAGATATTTTCCGATTTCACCTTTGGGTTGAACCACCACAGCCAGCCTGTGTTCAATCACACCCAGCATGTGGCTCAGCTCCTGGTCCTGCTCATTCACAGCCTTTGTGAGGGCGTCAACCTCTTCCAGCAACCTGATCAATACCCAAATTGCAGCTGAAATCCTCTGTAATTGTAGATACAGCAGGTATCCTCCAAATCCAAACAGGACAAATCTGAGTATCATAAAACCAAAACTCCACACATCTTTAATATCCTCCCCTGACAGCATTGTAAAACACACCATCATCCAAGCCTTCCAGGGGTCCATGGTGTATCCCATGAAGTATGTCCTGTTCTATTAGGTTTGATGCTATCAGTGTGATGCAGATTTATGACTTGTTTGGGGGAGTGGTGACCTAGCGGTACACTGGGGCTCTGATAAGTACCCAGTTCGATCTATATAAAGCCTCAAACTATGCGAATCCAGACATTTTGAATTGAGAAAGCTTCCTGGAGGGGAAGCCAAATGTCTTCAAGCCTTGAAAACCAAATCCAGTGGATTGTTTTTAAAAATTTACGGAATTACTATGACCTGGATGAACCTTCACCAGCTGATCCCACAGACTGCACTCTGGGTGCCGCACAATGGCAGCCCCATTGACTTCCAATGGAGATGATCTTGACTTTTTTTTTTTTTTTTTACTGGTAAAGACAAACCCGTAAATGGGTGGATTTGCATTACAGCACCGTCTGGTGGCCGCTAATCACAAACAGTCAGTCTGTGCCAACAGCCCTGCTGTTTGACATCCGCACCTCCAGGAACAGATGATTGGCTGACTTTAGCTGGATGGCAAAGGGTGATTGTGTCTGCCTGAATAAGCACTGCAGGGTTTATTCTGTCCTCCACAAGTGTTTTCCCCTTTGGGGGAGATGTAAGCATGTTTTTTAACATCCCTCCTTTATTTTACAGGACTGAAAGAGAAATTTTTCTTTGTTTTAATCTTTTCCACCACCGCAGATGTGTTTTACTTTGTTATTGCATCTCTTTTCTGTCAGACCCAGGAAATTCATGCGTAGCTCTGACTGAGATAGACCCCTAAAGCTATCAAGCCCCCCCCCCCCTGCAGAAAAGGATCATCCCTATTCTCTCTCAGTGAGCGCTAAACGCCACGACCTCATCGCTCAGCACACATGCCGGTTAGAGGATTTACCTACTGAGCTCTGCAGGCAGAGCAGGGAACTGATTAGCAGGAGCAGGAACCTCTGGAGAGCAGAAGTCAGGTTAAAGGCTGAACTCTACCCAGGTTTCAATGAATCAATCAGAAAATAAGCCGCTTAGCTTCTCAAAGTAGACTAGGTTGACTAGATATGGGCCCCTCAGTGAAGACCCCTCAGTGAGGGTCAGATGCCACTGGAGGCTGGATCCCTTTGAGAGGAAACTGGAGCTCAGGGATGGTAGTAGTCTGGTCATACTAAGCAAATATAATGTTCTGGAGGTTGCAGTTGTAAGTGTGAACATTGGCACTATCGGAACAATGTTTCACTAGTTGGACAGAAGGGATATAAAGCATTTCCCGTGTTTGTGTTGCATAAATATAGAGCGTAAGGTCACAATATATGTATTATTAAGAGAATAAAGTCATCATTCAACAACCTGTTTCAGAAAGAAAGCTTGGAGCTCCGCCCACCAGATGACCGCAGACCAGCTCCACCAATCAGCAACCAGAGTCCACTTTGACATCCTGCCCAGTTTGATGCTGCTGCTAAAAGATTTCCTGATTTGTCAAACCGATGCTAAAGTATAACTTCACATGATGCTCCACATTCCTCACTTTAGGGAACAAAGGGCTTCTTGTAGGAGTTGTCATAAAATACAACTTGTTTCTAGTAATCTTAGGACTTTATTCTCCTAATAGAAGGGAAAAAATCTCAAGCCTGGCCCTAATACTCTGTCGCATGGCGTTAACGGCGATAACGGCCCACTGCTAGATTCAACCCAAAGAAAACCCAAGAACAGTTTCTATTTCTATATTGAGTTTTAATGAAGAGACACCAGGTAACGTCAAGAAGTAACTTCTGTTTTAGCTATAAATGTCTGCTTAAGTTCTTGGAAACCCTTTTTTTTCCTCCGCTGTGCAAATAAAGAGCAGCTGAAAAAAGCTCTCGAGATATAAGAGCTGAGAAAATTTAAAGTTGAGGGTAGCGGAGGAGTGGGGGAAGGGGAGCGGGGGAAGTGGGTGATTATGGTTGGGGGGATGTAGGTGTGGGATAGAAGAGCTGGAAAAGCACCTTAAAGGAGGGAAAGTGACAAATCCAGTCAGAACGAGTTCCGATAAAGATGATTTTAAAAAGAACTGAGACCATTTTAATTGAGTTTCAGGTAGAAAACCAGCCAGACAAATTTATGAGCTTTCCAGTCAGACCATCTACACATCTGGTCAAGGTGTGGCAGAGCCCCCGGTTA